CATGTCAACATTGTTTTGTATAATTGGATGTGGTTGATACGAAGTTTCAGTGGAATCTAGAAGTAGGGAAGTGGAATGGAGTTGTTTCAATGGTTAACACTGGTAATGTAGATAGAATTTGCCTGCATTAACAGCTTATTTTAAGAAACTAACAAGAGGTAGTTTTTTATCTTCTTTGTACTTTGCAGCTCCTCCATGTGTGACTTAAGACCTAGAGATAAAGCATATTCTCTGGTACCAAGCCATGGGAGGATAAATTGTTTGCTCCTGAGACCTTTCAGCACCCCATTCAATACACATCCCTGCTCTGCCATTGCACTTTACCCTTTGCCTGTAATAAAGTTGTTCTGTTACTATAAACTGTTTGAGTCCTGTGAATTCTTTCAAAAATCAAAATGTAAGGCGATTGTAGGGGGTAGGAAGTCCACAGAGCAGGATTTCTAATCCAGCAGACTGGGTAAAGGAAGAGAGAGTCCTTGGCTTTTTTATGTTGTCTTCAATTTATGATTCAAAATAGAATTCATTAGTCTAGATGTAAGGGTTAAGAATGGATAGACTATGCTTTGGGAATTCCTAACATAGAAATCTTTTTTTTTTTCTTTTTTCCCCAAGATTTATTTGTTTGTTTGTTTGTTTGTTTGTTTGTTTGCTTACACAAGCACTGGGTACAGTCAGAAGCGCGGGAGGGTGAGAGAATTCACCCGAGCTTTTCAGGCTTTTATTGGGATTTACCAGATCCATGGCAGGCAGGGGTGCTGGAGGGCCAGGAGGCTGGCAGGCCTCACAACCCCCAGCAAGTCTTCATCTTTCTGGTCTGCCTGGCATTCTCTGGTGGTCTCTCTGCTTCTCTTGGTTCTCGTGATTCTCTCTCTGCTCTGCTATTCGTTCTGCTTCTCTTCTTCTGCTGGCGTTCCCGCGACACCGCCCTTAAAAGCCCAGTCTTAGCCCAGGTGAATCCCATCTACATATGCCCACACCCTTCTCCAAGTGCCCACCATCAGGCATGCATTCAGGACTGCAGGGTTCCATCATCTAATGGCGGCAGGGCAAAAAAGCCTGATACTTTCACCTTACCCTACAGCAATAATTATGCAATTAACAAATATTACATAGCAGAACAGCACCTCTGGATAACAGAAGAAAAAGGGAGAGTTTTTATGCAAGTTCTCTCAAATCTGCTACTTGCCACCTTTCAAAGTTCACCCTAGTGAAACCTCACATTTGACAGTAACATAATTTAACCATTCAACAGTTTCTGAGGAATCTAAGCCTTATGACTTAGTACAGATTTAAATTTGAGTTCTAAAGCAGAGATTAATTCTGCTTAATTAATTAATTCTGCTTCCATAGGGAAATGGAAGCAGGTGGCAAGACATTGGATGAGAAAGACATGTTTTTAAATGTAATATTTAAATCATTAAAGAGTAACCTATATATAGAAAAGTGCACACATCAAAACGAACTATCACAAAGTACTCACTATTACTGGAGAGACTAGTCCTCGCTCCTGAGAGCATCTCATTACATTACCTAACAAGTTCTGCCTACCCTCAGTTTCACTTACCTCACCAGAAATCAATTTCCATAGAGTCTAATGATTCTGATTATGAGCTTACATGTTCTATTTCATGCTTGGCTACTATTCAATGCTATTTATATAAAATTCATCCATATTTCACGTGGCCATAGCTAATTCATGTTACCGTATTATATTCAATAACAATGTATGTCACAACTTATACAAAATACTGTTTTCATATTTTTGTTGATTTTAGTAATAATGCTGCTAAGAACATTAAGCACATATTTTTGGTGTAAATGTGTTTATATATTTCTGTTGGCTACATACCCAAGAGTATAACAGCTAGTCATGATAAGTCTGTGTTTCCATTCCATGTGCATTGATTAGCACTCCCTTTGTCTGTTTTTGCAAAAACTGGGTAATGCCAATCTATTCACTTCAGTCATTTTGGTAGATGATTGTTATATGGTAGCTTTAATTTACATTTTTCTGAGGACCAGTGATATTTAGCACCTTTTCATATATTTATTGGTATTTGAGTTACCCTAATTTTTGTGAGGTGCCCATTCAAGACCAGCCTATATGTATCAGTTGCCTTCTTTACTGAATCTGCCCAACTAAATCTTTGAGCATGTTGGGAACTGATTTAGATGAAGAGTTATGCTTGGCCAAGCCAGGTTTGAGATATTAATTAGATACTCAGTTGTGTTGATCAAGAAAACAGTTCTGAATGTATGCATTTGTAGTTCATGAAAGAAATATGGAGATAAACATTTGGAAGCCTTGAGCCAATGGATAGATTTAAAGTCATGTAACTAAATAATACCAACCAGAGTAAGTTAACCCTAGGGTAATTTAACCATTAAAATTATAGCAAAGGAGAAAATTCCTAAAATAATTTAACCCTTTAAATTTTGGCAAAGGAGAAAATGTCAGAAGAAAGACTAAAATGATGGAAAACATAACTTATATAAACTTTACACTTGATCCTGAGATGGGGAAAATAATTAGGATGCAGGAAAGAAATGATTGTTGAAGACATATTGTGTAAACTCTAGAGGACAAAATCTATATAACATAGAAATTGATAGAGGGATAATTTATCACAATGAGGCAATTACATTCAATGGCTAGCAGAGCTTCACAAAAGTCTATTTTCTTAGGTATTGCTAACTAAAACATCTTAGCTCATTCTGATTTTGATACTGTTTCTTTCTGTGCTAGTGGAGTCCATTACATGTAACAACAGGAAATGCCAGTCTCATACTCTTTAGTGTACTAAGCACATTAAACTTCAATAAAAATTCTTTGAAATGACTCTTACATTGTAGATGTGGATATTGCACTGAGAGACTTTCACAGCACCACTTATTTACCACTTGCAGAGTTATGATTCTGAAGCTTTTTTTCTTTTCCTACAATGACCATAATATTTAACATGCAGTGCTGGATATTTTTGAGACTGAAAGGCCAAGTGTAATAGTTGAACTGGGATAACAGGTATAAACCAAGACTTCCTAGTATATAAGGTATGAACTCCTTATGTTTTCCTCCAATTTCAAATACCATTTAAAATTCAATTCAGAGCATTCTATTCAACTTCAATTCTCCTACAAAAGTTTAAAGGACCAATAACATTAAGTTAACAATAAGGAGGTCAACAAGGTTGAAAAGTTATAATAAAGACAGTAAAACTTAAATATGCCTAAAGGATGATTTTATTGAAATGACTGGTTAGAAAAAATAATAACAAGCACAATTTCCAAAACTATTTTTTCACGCATTTTTGATATGCTTATATTATTTCCAACTCAAAAATGAACTTCTGTGTTATTAGCTGAACTAAAATTTAAAAAGTGTAGAGTTTTTGTGTCAAATTCGAATTAAGGTAAACACCATATAATACATAAAATAAAGAAAGAAATGAAGTTTCCTTTTTTCCATGTAGATTCTTTAGAAATTATTAGTTTTGATAATATGATACAAATATTGAAAAGAAGCACATTTCCAGTTGCAGTCAATTCTGTGGAATAGAGAACAAGTATAGTATTAGTTATACTATATAACTATTCATCTCACCCCATTATTAATTTTGGTGTGACTAATTCATAAGATAAATATTATTACACATGTGCCATATTGTGCCCTCTCTTGGAGGAATAATATAAAGGTTTTTCTAGAAGCAAATATCAGTTCACTTTAATTGTTTTAGTGAAATATCTAACCTATATGATCACAAAAGATTTCTATGGGGCCTCCCCTGGTGGCGCAGCCATTGAGCACTGGGCTGTGAAGATGCCTGCAGCCTCAGCAGTGCCGGTTTGATCCCTGGCTGCCAAGCGAGGGCCCCACGTGGTGTGACAGACCTCTTCTGTCGCGCCCACTGCTCTTCTCAGCAGTGTATTTCATCTGTCTGCCTGTTCTGTTCCCTGCTCTGGCCCTGGTGAATCCTCTCACCCTCCCGCACTTCTGACTATACCCGGTGCTTGTATAAATAAATAAACAAACAAACAAACAAACAAACAAATAAATAAATCTTGGGAAAAAAAGAAAAAAAAAGATTTCTATGTTAGGAATTCCCAAAGCATAGTCTACCCATTCTTAACCCTTACATCTAGACTAATGAATTCTATTTTGAATCATAAATTAAAGACAACATATAAAATTTTAAATGAGATTAAAAACAACTGAATTTTATACAGCCTAAGTATAGGGTAAATGGTTTACAGGCTTTTCTGCCCTCCCACCATTAGGATTGCCCTGCCTGACTGGGCACCTGCAGTTGTTACGTTGTAAGCTTTCTTGTTTACTTCTGTGAGCCATGGGAGGACTATTGAGGTAGTCACCGAGAGCAGCAGAAGCAGGAGAGAGGCAGGAGAGAAGAGAGAGAGAAGCTAGAGAAGACCAGAGTGAAGACTTACTGGGGGCTTGGAGACCTCCCAGCCACCCCCCTCAACTCCCCTGCCTGCCATGTACCTGTTTGCCACGCTACATGTAAAGCTCAATAAAAGCCTGAGAAACCCACCGATGGCTCCAGGACTCTCCTTTACCCATCTGTTGGATCAGAAAACCTGCCCTGTGCCTATCCTGCCACTACACTAAGTTAGAAATGAGAATGCAATTTAAGTTGAATTTTTAAAAAGCTCAAACATATTTACGTAAAAGAAGAAATAGTTTTCCTTAAAATGATGGTATAGGCACTAGAAAGCAAGCCAATAAAACTTGTCAACACATAAATAAAATTTTAAATTGCTGGAAATACAAAATACATAATAGTCTACCATTAAGAATAAATTGATAATAAATAACTTGGCATATTGGCATATTGCCACTGCTTTGGGCTTATCCAGGAGAATTAAATAGAAAAATATATTAATGTAAAATTTAAATTTATTATATTATAAATATTAACTTTAATATAAAAAATGATCATTCTATATACTGACTCTTAAAGCTTACCAAAAGTGAGAAGAGGGTGTGAACTGTGAAATCCTCTTAGACCTTAAAAATTAGAATAAATAAAAATACAATTTACCTTTTAGCAAAAATATTTCCCTAGGAATTTAATATGTAATAAAGTAGACATCTCAATCTTTTGCCCATATATGTGAGATATATATATATATCTCAAAAGCCAGATATAAAATGACACATATATGTATAACATATGTCTCTTACATATATATTTTATATGTGTGTGTGTGTATATATATATATATATATATATATATAACATACATATATCTCAAAAGCCAGATATAAAATAAAGCATATTGGAAAATAAAATAAATGTGCACAGGGAAAATTTTAAAACCATAGAAAATGATTTGTTAAGGCCAAACCCAGTAAGATTATATCAAGTTTTATCTGGCTTTAGTAAGCCTTGATCCTCTTCTAAATTCTGAAGAAACCAATTAAATCCAAATCACTGAAATCATTCTTTTCCAATACTGAGTTTCCTTTACATAGAAAATCAAAACAATTCTCTGAGAATCTCTATGGTGAGGCCAAGACGTTGGTATTTGGAAAACAATTAGTTCTGTGGATTATTCTTCTGTGTAGCTAGTGTTCAGAATAACTAAAACTATCTGCATTTTGGAACCACTCTTTGTTCATTTATTTTTACATTCTAGCACCCTCACTTATCTGACATCAGGTACACATCATGAGTGAAACAGCCAGGTGACTTCCGCGGGCTTACCATCAAGAAGCTGTAAGCGGGGGCGAGTGGCAGAGGCATAGAGTAGAACTGGTGGGTCTGATCAAGCAGAGGTTGCTGGTTCAGGTGAAGGGCTTGCAGGGACATGTATCTCTGGGGGGCGGGTGTCACTTGCTGGGGAATAGCCTGGACTTTGGACTGAAAAAACGGTGGCAGGGGCTGAGAAGGAATCCTGGGAGTCTGAGAAAAAATCTGAGAAAGAGCCTGGGGCATCTGGGGTATCTGGGGCATCTGGGGTATCTGGGGCATCTGGGGTATCTGGGGCATCTGGGGTATTTGGGGCACTTGGGACACTTGGGGCACCCAGGACTGGGGCAGAGAAAGACGCATGAAAAGTTGCAGGTTTTCGAGGTCAGTGAAGTTCATGGTCTGACTATCAGAAAAGGGCGTGATTGGAGATTTAAGGAAGGGCATCATTTTGTGCTTAGGAAAGATGGTCTCCTTGCTTTTGGGGTCTTGCACTATTTCAGGTGAAACAAAAGGCGACATCACAGGCTGAGCAGAAAGCCGGACGTTTTGTGGAAAGAGGGTGAAAGGGATGGGCTCAGCAAAAGGATAAACGAAAGGCAGTGACTGGAAAAATGGGTGGATTTTATCCTGGCTTTCATCCTGGAAAGAGAGAAAAAGAAGCTTTGAGTCTGTAGGTTAGCTGTAATTGTTATTCATGGTGCATTATACTCCTCTTCTTTTAACAATCATAAATGAGTAAAAAGAGACAAAGAAAATCTTTCACTTATTTTTTCACTTATCTGTAGCTACTATGATACTTGCTATAGAGTGACCTAAAGAACTGGTAGGAGTTTGGATGTGTCTTGTTAGGGATGGCATTTTTTTTTTCTTTAAAGGTAGGTGACATTAAAGCACAGCTTTAATAAAAATATGTAAGCACAGCTTATACATGAAACAATTAAAGTATAGAGAAACAGGTTATGCAACTAATAAATGATCAGATTAGGATTTGTGCCATATTGCCATCCTATGCTCTTTCATCAGCTTATTCATCCTGAGAAAAAGGTGAATGTATTCCCAACCTGAAAATGTGTCCACTGATGTGTTTTTACTGAGAGCAACTAGTTACACTATTAGTAAAGCGAGTAAATCTATAGTGGTTATTGCATATTTATTCTGTAATCTAGAAGCTGACTGTGTTTAAAACATGGATTTATCTCTTAAAAATATACTGACACCATCAAACTTTAATTTCTTATACTAGGATTTATAATTACTGAAAAAGTAATAGAAATATTTACATATTATATCTCATAAAAACTTTATAGGAATTAATTACCTCTTTTTGCTGCTGTTCCTGATGTTTAGATTTCTCAAGTTTTTGCTAAAAACATATCACATATAAAGAAATGTTATTATTTGCAAAAATTGAACAGAAAATTTTAAAAATATGTCCATTTAAAAAGGCTTTACCTTGTTGATGTGTGTGATAGATTCCTTCAGAAAAATGAAAATAAAATCAGGTTCAGTTTTAATGAATGATTCTTATTAAAATAAAATGATGACACTTCGTAGATTAATACAGATACCTTGTTTAATAACATTAAAAACAGAATAATTGCTGAAACTTAGATGTTACACTATCCTGGATAAACGTGTTAGTAGAAAAGAAAAGAAATGAAGCCAAGAAAGAAAAGAAAATTAGCACAGTACAAAAAGGGATATTCATCAGAAGGTAATTTCCTTCTAGCACCATGTTCCCTCTACTACCCCATCTGTTTCTAAAAAAAAAAAAAGAATCATTGAAAATATTTAATAATAAACATTCTATCAATCATTCTTAGTTCACCTATTATGTGTAAGCTTCAAATGAATGTAAGAAAGAAATATCAATAACTCCCCTACAAATATTACATAAATGTCAAAACAGTGGCATATCACTGTATAAAAAACAAGAAGAAAACTGGACTCTAACGTTCATTAAAAATTTTTAGTGAGTTAACTAAGATAATGCTAGAGTACTGAATTCTCCAGACATTTATTCTATTTTTAAGAAAATACAATGGAAATTTATATTAGAATGTGACACATTTGGTTTAATAGTGCTAATGTAATACGAAAAGATAGACCAGCATTTTACTGTCCCTAAACTGGTAAGTGGCCTGTGAATGAATATTGCCTTACCTCACTGCTAGAAACACTTTCTGCAGTCTGTAAAGAGGAAAAAAAAAAAAAAGAAAATCCACTATAAGCTGAGTCTTCTATTAGATCATCAAAGAAGTTACTATTTTATGATTTTATGGTTGGAAAAATTTCTCTGAATAAAAATAGCTTACCTCACTGAATACACTGACGTCTTCCTTCTGCAGAGAAAAAATAAGACCAATTTACTTTCCATAGCTAGCTCTATTAACATTTTTCCTACTTAATTTTTACCTTCTTTATACAGCTATTAATTTCAAACTTTGAGAAATCAAAATGTTTTAGTTCTTAATACTATATCATTTAATTCATGTGGCATGTACAGAAACAAATCTAACAAAACACACAACAAAAACAACACTCAAACTGACAACAAAACAAGGTAGCTGAGTGAGAAGAGCAGGTAGAAAAGGTCAGTTTGATAATGGTGAATGCTGACAGGGTTGGTCATTTTTTCTGTACTTACCTCCCTTGCTAGGGCAAGAGCCACCAGGCAAGCAAGAATGAGGACCTTCATGACTATCAAGTCCTATAAGTGGGGAAATGAGGATATGGATCAATGTAATATATTTTCTTATTTAGGTGTGATTACTTTCCTTTAAAAGAAACCAAATACAATGCACAAATAAAATGCTTTCATTTTTGCAAAAAAAAAAAAAACAAAACTAATAACAGAAGTTTTAACATATGACCAAGGTGAAAATCTACTCTAGCCCAGTACTTTTACTTATTAAATTCATACTTTATTTTTATTGCCAACTATTCCAATTTTTTTCAGCCAACATCTCTACCCTACTTCACTTTTTCATCTCATTCACAGTAGTAGATATTTTTCTTAGGACAGAGAATAGTTATAAATGTTTACAGACAATTTATTAATTGATTCATCTATTTAAGGAATATATATTTTACACCTTTCAGTGCCAAATACTGTTAGGTGCTGGGATTACAGAGGTGAAGAAAATAGTGAGGCCTCAGCTTTGATGGAGCTTCAGTTCTATTTGCAAGAGACCAATCAAAGAAAATGTATACCAAGAAGATTATGTTTTAATTTTTATTTCCTTCACTAAATTAAACAGTTTCCATGAATATCTGGCTTACTCAGGTCTCCTTAATTCCAATAAAACAGATTTTCTTTTTAACATTTCCTTTATTTGCTCCACTATTTCAGATGTTTTCTTAGACTCTGTTTCTTTATACCCACTACACAGCCTTTATCCCCACACACCCAATGACGTCTCTTCTCCTTTTACCACTTAACTTCAGAGATCATAAACTATGCTTCCTTGATGATATAATGAGGGCTCAGATTCTCTTGCCCCATCTGCACAGCAGGATACTTTTTGTAACATACCTTAAAACATTAACACTTTTAACCAACAAGCATTAAATTCTTGTTTTGTTGTATTTCTATAATTTCTTGTAGAAAAGGATGTTTGTGTCACCAATATTCCTTGACACTATGTTCAGCACTAGACTTTTAAACTAAATTTATGAACTAAAGTGATATCGTGGAAAATATCTCTAGTAACTTGCAAAAAAATCCTTTCCAATATTTGAAGGTTGAGAATATTTTCTGTTAGGGAAAACAGATTCTTCTATATTTTTTGCATGGCTGCTATATCATTCTTTATTAACTTTGCTAAGACCTCCATAGTTTCCAAATAAATTTTTGTCATTTCTGCACTCAAGAAAAGAATCATACTCTATTATAAATCATTAGAAGGAAGGAAGCAATCACTGCATTTTCTATGTATTATTATTAGCACTTTTCTCTAACAATTTTAAACCAAAATTTCTTTACTGACTAATATACTTTAAACTACTCTTTCTTTCAAATCACATCTTGCTTTTGCTTACAAATCATCTTTGTACCATCTAGAATTTTCTTACAAAGTAAAACATTCCTTTTTAAACTAATTCTGTATTTTGAATTTCTATTTTAATACTATTTTGAAATATTATAAACTTGGAAGTTGGATACTTTAAACAAGTTTGATCATTATAAGCATATATAAAGTACCTCATGAAGTACTTGTTAATTAAACTTTCCCAATAATAATTCATATTGTCATAAATTAAAGATATTTGCTTTTATGGCTGTGGTATGTTTAATCAAGCTGAAATACCTATAATTCAAGAAACAGAATTTTTAATAAAACTTATCACTTTCTAGCCTTATGCTAAAAATAAACAATCACCATTACCACATTTCTTAGACTCATAATAAGAATGTGGTCCAGTATTATTTTTACAAAATCTTAAAAACACTTGTATTTCCAACATTATCTTAAGTTCCCTGTTTCAAAGAATATACTTTGAGCTATTTCATTCTTCCTAAATCTCAACTAAATTTGAAATAAAAGTGAAAAGTGGATACATTTAATTTCATGCTTGCAATTCTTACCTTTTTTTCAAATTGAAGGACAAGAAGTGAAGGAGTTGCTGAGTGGATGAGGATTTGCCTGCGTTTGTGGCCATTTATATACTCTATTTAATGGTATGCTAATTTTGTGGTTTGAAATAAATTCAATTGTGAGTTTCAATTCCAAGAAGTCCATATGATTAGAAAGTTATTTCTGCTTATAATTCATCCCCAGAAATTCTGGGGAGCATTTTAACAAGGGAATAATTCACAAATTGATAAATACATCCAGGAAATTCCATTGTCCAATAACTGCAGATGACGACTGGAGGATAGTGACACTCTGGCCAAGTTCCCAAATTATTGTAGGCATAATTAATTCTCTAGAGTGTTTTGTGAGTCCTCAAGATCTTAATTGTGGGGGATTCTATATGGAACCAGAGATAGAAGTGGCTTCACAAAGATGGCAATTTCATGCTTATCTGAGAAGTTAATGTTTTATGTTGCAATGGAGAAAATGACAAAATAAGAAATCCACTATAATATCATGTAAGGCAAACTGCTTAGCTACAAGGGCCACTTGATTTGGGAACTATAAATTATTTACTTCAAACAGTATTTTTGTATATAAGAAAAAATTTCCTCTGGAATGGAAAAATTTGAGAGGAATTTGGATGGCTATTATAGGCAAAATCCTTCATAAATCTGTTATAAAAATTTTGGAAAATATCATGGAGACTTATTTACCTGAGAAGTATTGATTGCCCTTTTTATTCTGGCATAATTATTATTATTATTAAAATTATAACAGCTAATTTTTCACTTAACACCATTTTTATGGCAGACACTTCACACTTTACACATTGTCTTCCCTAATGTACACAACACCATCACAAAGTAACTCTCCTTCTTATGTTCTAATTACAGAAATAGAGACACAGAAAGGTTAAGAACTTTCTCAAAATCAGTTTTCTAATAGGAAAGATATCATGTACTCCAAGTCAGACTACATGTTTTTGTTTCATCATATGTAGTGCCCATGTTTTAACTACCGATATTTTATAATAAACTTATCAATGTAATATTTCTATATAAATACACAGAATTTGACTAAGACTGGATTGAAAGAATAGGGCCCTGGGGCTGAGAGTGGGAGGGGCATCTGATCATTATGGAGCTGCTATATTACTGATAGTTGGACATTAAAAAGAAAGAGTAGGATTTTTGAGAAATGATTAAATGAGAATAAAGTAATTTAGCTAAAAGAAATGCAGTAGCTTTAAGTGCAAAATTCAAGTTTCATACGTTCTGTATTTTGGAATACATAGAGGGTATAGAGTATAAATTACTATTACAGGGTTTTGTTTTGTTTTGTTTAAAGATTTATTTATTTATTTACACAAGCACTGGGTACAGTCAGAAGCACAAGAGGGTGAGAGAATTCACCAGAGCCAGAGCAGGGAGCAGAACAGGCAGATAGACGAAGTACACTGCTGAGAGGAGCAGCGGGCGGCAGGAGAGAACTGCGTGCCATGTGGGACCCTTGCCCAGCGGCCGGGGATCAAACCGGCACTGTAGAGGCAGCGGGCAGCTTCGCAGACCAGCACTCAACCTCTGCGCCACCAGGGAGGCCCTATTACAGGGGTTTAATGGAGTTAGATCTTGGATGCCTTTGAATATCCGATGTATAATATAACATAATTCACTAGACAGAGGGTAAAATATTATATATTTGAGAGAAAAAATAATTGTGAAATTTCTTGGATAACTATGACAATAACTCAGATGATTTAGTAAAGATTACTGTATTGTGTTACTATAGTAGGTTTTAGACAGATATTATGACCTTATATAAGGAGATGGTGCAGGGCATTTTGGAAAGTGGAAAAACATTAAAATATGAAAAATATAATAAATCAGGGAAATGAATGGATAGAGTACATCTAGGTGATGAAAAGTTAACCCAGTAATAAACCAAGATTTTAAAAATCCAAGCTAAAATTAGAAAGGGGATATTGAGTTCAGTCTTTTACATTGTAAGTTTAAGGTGTCCAGAGCTATTGAGAATTAAATGTGTAGATCAAGAGAAAAGTCATAGGAACAACTTTGTAAAAATATTTTTTCAGATAAAGGAATAAATGAATTTTCCCAGGGAAAGAGTGGCGAGTGAAATAAATTAGTCTAAGAATAGTACTCAAGACTACCCTAATATTAAGGGGATGGTACAGCAAGAGGAAATAGGAAAATTACAAAGTGTCAAAGAGTGGAGCATAGAGGGCCAGGAAACCAGGTGGAGCAATACGTAGGAGAAACAAGTGGAAGCAAGAGTGAAATGCTACCTAAATGTGGAGGAATATGGAAACAGGTAACAGATTTTTGGACACAAGGAGTCATTAATCCTATTACCACTGAGGTAAGTAACTGGTGAGGAGTTAAAAGCAATGCTACTCTTCTCAGAAATTTAGAAGAGAGGGTAAAAAGACATATAAGATTGACTAATTAGCTGCTTATGTTTGACACTACTCATCTGACTTTACTTATTCAAGAAACAATGTTTGTTTCTTCTCTTCACTGCTGGTGATACATGGCATTCAGTGCTTAAATGCAAATAGATATCATTTTAAAGTAAGCTTGTACAGTGTTGTCATAATTATTTTTCTTCATATTTTACCTTGCATACATATCATGCTAGATGTAAGGAGGAGGGGAGCACTCCTGATTTTCATATGTGGCTTCTATTGCTTAGAAAACCCAAGTCAATATCTACCATACATTTCAATTTTTCTGCAAGTATTTATTTTAAGACTTTGTTCACATTGAGCCAGAGGGAAGTCATGAAGAAATAATGAAATGACCCCAATGACATAGGTACAGTTAGAAAAGACCTTGGCTGCCCAGTGTGCTTTTTATGTGTTACTTCTCAGTTGCCAAGGTGAGAGCAAAAAGGGAAAAGGAAATGTTGATTTCTACGAAAAGGAACAAAGACTCAAGGATATCCAACACATTCAACATTTCCTTTTTACTTTCTCAGCCATATGCTTTATGTATTGTGTAATACCTGCAGCATATCCTTGTGACTCTCACCAATTTTTCATATTTTCATTAATCACTATAGTTTGTAGAGTCAATTAGGTCAGAAAAGTAGACAAATGCTTTAGCAAGGA